ATTTCTTTGGTGTTTATAGAGGTATAAAATACCTTTGACATAGTGTCTAGGAATGGACTCAGAGCTAACAGGTCTCCAAGAAAAGTAGTTGGGAAGATCTGATTTCTTCTTTCACTTCCAAATAATGATAAAATAAAATGTCTGAGCTCTGTAGCCAAAGGAGTGAGTCTCTTCACAGGATCTTTTCTCTATCAGCAAAACTCCCCTGTTAATTAGAATGTAAGTTTTAAGGTTGTATGCCTGAACTCATAAAAATTTGATTTCGATTAAGGACTCTGGGATGAGGCCTGCTGGGCTATCAGTCCTTATTCTTCTACTTGCTTGGTCTTTTACTTACCACTAAGACTAACTGAATTCTGGAATCTTAAGCATTTCAAAGACTAAGTAAGCAGATACACTATGAGGCTGTTAATAAAATAACTTTTTGTAATGAATATACTATTTAGTTTTTTTGTGGTCCTAGGGACTAATCCAAGGGATGCTCTACCACTGAAGTATATCTCCATCCCTTTTTATTTTGAGAGAGTCTACTAAAAGTACCAAGTCTGACCTCAAATTTGTGATCTTCCTGTATCAGTGTTTTCAGTTGCTAGGATTACAAGTGTGCACTGAAATCCAGAATGAATATACTGATTTGTTTTGTTGTTGTTTGTTTTTACTTGTAGATATATACGTAAGTAAAGGTACTATGTGTATCTTTATGTGATGCTGAGGATTGAACCCAGTGACCCACGATAGGCAAGCACTATGCCACTGAGCTACAACCCCAGCCCCTGAACTACTGTTTATAGGATAGTTATCTAGAGCAAGATGAATATTTCAAGATAGGGTTTCCATAATACCACTTTGGCACTGAGTAGTGCTGGTCAGTTTCTATTGCATTAAGTATTGAAAACTGAAAAGGAAATCCTACATTCAGTTAATTGACCTTGTATCCTTCAATCTAATGGAAAACATTACAAGATTGAACTATCATGACATTCCTATGTCTTGTTTTTATTCCATAAGTCTTAGGTTGTAGTAGTCTGGCACTTGCCCAGATTATTCCGTTTCAAAGGTTAGAGATCCTTCTATTGTCAAGACTTCTACTTGGAATGGGTTTTAATCAGTTCTAAGTTTAAAAAGCCTTTCAGCTAGTATTGGGATATGTGACACAGAAAATCTCTGCCGCCACATATGTTGGTCCCCTGCTTTATGCAGGGAAATGGGAATATTTAGATCAATTTAATGCAGTTTTGTTTGACTGACTTTAAGGGAGTGGGCACGGCAGTACACACCTATATTCTCACTGAAAGTGCTCATTGACCATCCAAAAACTTTGGGTTTTAGATAACAAAAGTTGTCTTATCCTCAGAATTGACTGTATCTCGGATCTTCTTTTTCTACATCACAAAATAAACCTAGGTTGGTCTTTATAAAGACAGTGACAGATTCTGCAGTGAAATATTGGCTCTCATAAAGGCACCTCAGCCCTATATGGTACTTAGATGAATCTGACCTAGACAATTGTCTTACTCTTCATTTGGAATTGGACTTTGTGCTAAACAAGAGGGGCAGAGAACACTTATTTAGTTGCAGTAGATCTTGTTCAGGATAAAAACAAGCTCTCTGGCTATGTTTACATGCAGCTAAATTTTTCTTTTTTTTTTTTCTTTTTTTTTTTTTTTTTTTTTTTTTTAAAGTAGAGGAATTTTTTTTTTTTTTTTTTAAAGAGAGGGAGAGAGGAGAGAGAGAGAGAATTAATATTTTTTAGTTCTCGGCGGACACAACATCTTTGTTGGTATGTGGTGCTGAGGATCGAACCCAGGCCGCACGCATGCCAGGTGAGCGCGCTACCGCTTGAGCCACATCCCCAGCCCTGCAGCTAAATTTTTCCACTGGAAAGAACATTAATCAAAGATCTTATTTAGCATACTGTTTTTCTATGCATATAATTTCATGTGTAGGAGGAAAAAACAGAAGATCATCATCATTGTTATCAACTTTGGTTTATTTCAAGCTTGTGCCAAAATATATTCCAGATAATGCTTCAGATCATTGTTGCACAATAAACCCTAATGCCATTGCTGTCATTCCAAAAGCTGCCAGAACTCTGGAAGTCAAGTGGTCCAGCCCCTTAACCCAGGAATATAGGTAGAGTCCACATGATAGGTGATGAGAGGGGCAATAATTGAACTGCTCTGGCCCCTCGTTTTGTCCTGGTAAGTAGGGTATGATCTTAGGATTACAGATATAGCTAATGAATATTATGAATATGAATATTAATCAGTGAAAACATTAGAGTGACAAGTTCTCTTTGTTCCTTTAGCTCTTTGAAAGTTCATCTATCTCACTGGCAGTGCTGCTACTTCAAGTTTCAGCTCTAGCAGCCTTCAGGGATCCACCCACACTTAACCCTAGGGCAAATGCCAGTTTAAATCTTCATTTTTCAAGAATTTCCTTAAGGGGAAGAACAACAGAAACCCAAGGTGCAAGTTCTTCCCTAATTTTAGATTAGGTAAAACATGAGAATAAATTAACTGATGGATAGCAGGCAAGAAGTTGGGGAACAGCAGTGGGTAATAGTCAGACCCAGGAGACAGAACACTGCCTAAACCAGTCTTGCTTGGTTTTCTGATCTTAGAAAGCCTTGATTTTTTTTCCCCCTCTTAAATAGTATTCCTGAAGTCACAAAGGCCATTGAAATGTGATTATTCTCCTAAAATTACTTCCAGTTCTTGCAGATCCTTCTGGAAAGCTGAATCCTAGAGAAACAAACAGAACAAATCTAGTACTCAAAATCTGCGCCAACCTTTTCTCAAACCACCAGTACCTGAGGGGTCCTTTGCTTCCCTCCTGAGCTCTTAGCTGTAGTCTTTCTCCTACTTTCCCAAATAGCCTGGAGCCCATGAAATCTGTCTCCTCCCCTAGGTAAGATGTACACAGAACACAGAAGAGATTCCATGTAGAGGATAAACTCTCATCCCAGGGAAATAAGACCTCAAGGGAAGATTTTCTTTATTGAAAAGGTCACATGATGACACAGTGGTAGAATTCAGTATTTTAAAAACTCTTTAAAAAGTATTACCTCATTAGTAACATCTGGCAACTCCAAGGCCAGCTTCATCCACCTTTTAGCTTCAGTGTTTTTTCCTAGTTCTCTATAGCACTGAGAAGAGACAACAATAAAAACCTGACAAACATCACCAGGAGATAGGAAGAGCAAAAATATCTATGCTTTCAAGAGTTCCCAGAAGGGTTGGGAATGTAGTAGAGTACCTGGGTTTGGTCACCAGCACCATGAATACCATCTACATAAATGTTGTTTCATCTAGGTTGAAGTGAGTGAGTTTACCTTGGAAATATACACCCTTCCTGCTTTGGAAAATCCTGGCTGTAGTTCTTCAACCTGGAGAGGGAAGGCATTTCATTAAGAAGTTCTAAAATTCAAGTCAGGCAAAAGTTTATCAAGTAGACATTTCCAGGCCCCAACCAAGAGACTGATTCAGTGGTTCTAGCCAGGTAATTCTCATTTTCCTATACAACAGGCAGGCAACTTTCCCCTGTAGAAACCCTTCCCATGAAGGGTCTCAGTAATGTCTTTAGGAAAAATAAGGTTACCCTGGCTCTAGGGCTGCTACCTATCTATCTCCCCTCATACCTTCAAGAAGCTTTGTAGAGCATCCTGCACAGTTGCACTGAGAGGGCTTTCAAATAAGGCTGTAGCAGTTTTTTTTTCTAGCCAGCCTAAGTGAGAGACCTGCCATCAAAAGATCAAGATGTAAACAAAAAGTTTAAGAAAAACCTTTAAGAGTAGTGAATAATCTGATCTAAAACCAAACAGCCATCAATAAC